CTAGGCATTAAATAAAAATTAATTCTATCTATCTTCTAAATGCATATTACAGATCTTATCATTCATTAATCTGTGCATGTTTAATTTAAGTTTATTTAAATTTTTTGACCTCAAAGTTGAATTAAAATGTCAAAACCGGACTTTTAAAACATGACACTTCTCTTTGGTAACACATGCAGGACTTCTCTGATGACTTTGCAAGCTCACATTCATCTGCCTCCACTTTCGAGTACAATGCCACATCTCAAAATCCAAGTTCCACCCTACATTTTTTTTGTTTTGTTTTTTCTAAATCTGTTACAATATGGAAGAAAGATCTGTCACTGCTTCGGTTTCATCATGATTTCAGGGTTTTTTTTTTCTTCTAATTTTGACTGTTATGAGCCATGCAGCTGGCTTGAGGTATCAGGTCCAGGTCACCAATGGGAGTGAAATACTGGGAGCTGTAGGGCTTGGGAGTCATCGAGTTAGAAGGAACATGAAGGTTTTGTTGCCATTACTGGTGAAGTAATCTCTTTGCATGAAAGCACCCAACTGGACATAATTAAAAGCCGCTGCTAGCTTTTCGGCACTGGCTCCCAGATTGTTCTCTCATGCAGTCTTCCGATTGGTGGCTGGAATCAGACATTTGGCGCTCTCACACTCTATGGCGTCGCTGTGGCAGCCGCTTTCTGAGCATTTTTCCCCTTTGTATTTCCCTGTATCACTTAATAATTCTTCCCCCTCTTTTTTTAACTCTTTCCTCCTCTTGTTTCTCCAGGAAACCTCATCACGAGCAGAGAAAGGAGCAGGAGCCCAAAAGACCTCACATTAAGAAACCTCTAAACGCTTTCATGCTGTATATGAAAGAGATGCGTGCCAATGTGGTGGCCGAATGCACGTTGAAGGAGAGCGCCGCGATCAATCAGATCCTCGGGCGGAGGGTACGTATCTGATTTGCGGGTCTCTCGCACCATGTGACCTCCTTCACAAAGGGGTCTATTGTAGTTAGCACTTCTGTCTAACTCAATTTTACAAGTACACCAACACACAAGCTGACAGCTCAGAAATCTAGTCAGGTAGCGTCTTTAATGCTTCATTTTGGAATTGGAAAAAGAGTACCGTTAAACATATTTAATGCTTTAACCAAAGCATCTGCGGTTTGAGGCGGCTAGCCACAGTAAAGGACCATTTTGTGGCAGTGTGGGGTACTTGCAGCCTGACATGGTTTGAAGTAAAGCGCCGCTAAATTGGAACCAGTGTTTTGATATGAAATCAAAATTTCGTGTTTTTTTTCCCCTTCCTTTCTCCCATCGCTGCATATGTTAATCTCTTCATCATGTTCCATTCCACCCCCAGGCACGCGTGCACATGCACTCGCACACATTTACCCGCACACACACGCAATGTTTGAGAGTTAACAAGGATTTTTAGCCAAACGCAAGCACGCGTCTCTTTGGAAGGAACTTAAAAGTGCATGTCGGTAATTGACAACTCCCACCCCCCCTCTCTCTCTCTCTAATCTCCCTCTGCACTGAACAGTGGCATGCTTTATCTCGGGAAGAGCAAGCTAAGTATTACGAATTAGCCCGCAAGGAACGGCAGCTCCATATGCAGCTTTACCCAGGATGGTCTGCCAGAGACAATTATGTAAGTGTCCACACTAACACACTGCCTGAGAGTGAGAGTTGTGTCATGTGTTGATTGCATGAAAGTAAATATAATGCTTGTCTTTAAAAGTTAAAAATATATGCATACTACTATTGTTTGTTTAGTAGTCCAAATGTTTAACTGTTGTAAAATGAGTTTGAGGTTATATCAGAAAATTCTAAAGGGCTATTCACTTCAAGTCTGACAGGACTGAATGATACTACAACACAACTGTTATAGAACAAAATATTCACAAGTTAGATACCAGCATTTCGCTGATACTTGAATTAAAGGGACAGTTCAGCCAAAAATTACAATTGTCATAATTTACTCGCTCTCCACTTGTTCCAAACCTGTATGAGTTTCTTTTTTTCTGTTGAACACAAAAATAAGATATTTTAAAGAATGTTGGTAACCAAACAGTTGATGGTAGCCATTGTATTTTTCCTTACTATGGAAGTCAATGGGCACCGTCAGTTTTTTGGTTACTGCCATTCTTCGAAATATCATCTTTTGTGTAAAACAGAGAAAAGAAACTCCCAAATGTTTGGAACAGGTGGAGAGTGAGTACATTATGACACAATGTTTAGGTGAACTATCCCTTTAATTAACAATTTATCTTTGCTAATTTAAAAATACATTCTTCATTCATGAAACATAAGCAGCACAGATTTTAGTAAATGGCTCATAAAAACTTAAATTATTGCATTGAATGTAACTGTTTGCATACAATTTGTTGATTTACTGAATTTATTCTGCTTGAGTTTCATAAAAGGGTTTCCAAAATACAAACTAGGGCTGGGCGATATGGCCAAAAAAATTATCACGATCATTTTTTTCACATCAGTCGATATCGATAATTATCACGATAAATGTCAAATCTTTATTTCTTTCAAGTTTAAAGCCAGATCTTTGCTCCAAAGTGAAAGTTATCGAAACAAGACCATTAATTTTCCTTAACAAAATAAATATCTGAATAGAAAAATAAATTTCTTAGTTTCTGCATGTTCTAATGAGTGATATTGTTTCAAATCAAGAAACAGGTTTGGGTTGCCTGATAATATTAATAATAATATTTTTTGTCTCTTAGACATGCACATCTAATAGTAGCATGAGTTAGGATGCAGAGGTACATTTTTGTTCATTATCAAAATCAGTAACATGAGTAAATCAACCTCAGCTTTATATGGTTAAATTTAATCTGACCAAGGTTTTTTTTTTTTTTTAATTAAGCATTGGTCTCCCATAGTAGCATACATTTAAATCATGATAAACACAGTTAAAACCACACATATAACACCTCAATACCATGGTAAAAATATAATGATATGGTTTTTAAGTAGCCTATTTGCATGAAAAACAGTAACGTTAGTCTAAAAACATTCAGTATAAATGCACACATGCTATAGTTTAATCACAAATACATACTATAATTATATACCATTACTCCTTTTAATAAAATTCAGTGTGAACATCCCAAATTTCTGTCACAATACCATGGTGCAGTGAGTGTTACTACAGTAAATCCATGGTAAATGATGGCAATGTGTAGATTGAAAAGCCTTCTGACTGTCTCGGTGCACACAGTGTTTCTCCTGTTTGGCTTTAAACTAGTTTAAATCACAGAGTAATTTTTGTTCATTGCTCTATTCGCGCTTCACACTGGATCTCACAGCGCTGTTTAGTGCTCGAGTGACCGAGTAAACACATCTGTTCTAGTGAGCTTGCACGGCGCAGCAGTTTGAACTGTGTTCTGAACGGATAAACGGGCCGTGTAGCGCGATTCAAATGAGTTTCGTTCAGCTTTTGACGCATAAACATTATATCGAACACTTCATATCGTTTTATCGAGGAAAATTATATTGTGATAATTATCGTTATCTAATTATCACCCAGCCCTAATACAAACAGACTCAATTTCCGTAAATGGTTTCTAAAAACCTTCTTGTGTAAATCATTGCATTGAAAGTGATACTTTACTAGGTTTTATGACTGATTTACATGAATTTGTTCTGATCAAGTTTCATAAATGTGCGCGAGAAACCAGAGCAGATTGAAGTTGTGTAAACTGTTCATAAAAACATTCTTGCACAAACTGTTGCATTGTACCGATTTACGCAAAAATAGTTTTATGCCTGATTCATGAAACAAAAGTGGAACAAATTTGTGTAAATTGTTTGTACAAATGCTCCTTTGTAAATTGCATTGAATTTGACAGTTTCATAAGAATGGTTTTATGAACGACTTACACAATTTGTTCTGCTTCTTTCATAAATGAAGCTCAGAAACATGAACATAATTTTTGTGTAACAAGAAATTGTAAAAGTTGTTTTTACGTAAATTGTTAAATGTAATCTTTTTTTTAAATGACTAATTTCTGTTCTGCTTATGGTATGTGAATGCCAATTACATCTTATTATAAGCATTTTATTATGGACATGATGTGAATGCTCATTAAACGCTTCTACTATTTTCATGAGTAATTGCCTTCAGAGTGTCGCTCCCAAGCTCTTACAGCTGTCACATACTAAAAGTTTTCCAGAAGAGACATATTGCTAACCATTTACTCAATATTATTACATTTATACAATTATTCCTTTATTTTATACAAATGTGTCAGATATCAAGGCAGTTAGCTTGTAGAATTCACATCCAAAATGTATGTTGTGATGACAACTTTGGACACCAGAAGTGCCAGGATGTGCTGCTAAAACTAAAACCTGGCTTTCACACTAATCACCAAATGGAAAGGCAACAGGGCTAAAAAGAAACACTTCAAAGACAGATGAACTTTCATCTCCACTTATATATTAGTGGTGGGAGCACACTTGTATTTAATAGTGCTAAGGATTCTGAGTGTATCCCTGCTCTGTCATAGACGTTTCTACTGCTCTGGGCTTCTTGGTTCTGTCAGCCAGGGCTAGAATACACAGATTAGTGACTGAATAAGTGGATTATCAGACTTTACAGCAGGCAACCAAAGCGTGGCTCATATTGGACCGCAAAATGACAGTGCGGCGCTATCTATACCTATAGTCATCCTGCCAGGGGATTTTGGGTAAGCTACAAATCCTAAAGCAGTCCAGACTTCTCACTCTAGAGGAGTGTTTGTCGTGTCAATTGGAGTAGGGGCAGATGTTTTATTCATGTTTAACTTTCCGATTGGTGATTAGGCCATGCAATCCAGAAGAATTAGGAAGGAGTTTTAGATTTTATTTTATTTGACTTTATATTACTTCATTTGACTATTTTATTTTATTTTATTTAAAAAGATTAAAATAAAATATTTTTTTAATATTTACTATTTTATTTTATTATTTTATCTTTTTAAATAAAATATTATTTTAATTGTTTTTATTTTATTTTATTTTATTTTATTTGATTTTAGTTTAGTAATCATGCAATCCAGAAGAAGTAGGAAGGAGTATTGGACCTATTTTTTTATTTTTTATTTTTTTTTATATATATATATATATATACAGTGGGTACGGAAAGTATTCAGACCCCCTTAAATTTTTCACTCTTTGTGATATTGCAGCCATTCAGCCATTGTATAATCAAACACAGCTGGACTCAAATTAAGGTGTAGAACCATCTCAAGGATGATCAGAAGAAATGGACAGCACCTGAGTTAAATATATGAGTGTCACAGCAAAGGGTCTGAATACTTAGGACCATGTGATATTTCAGTTTTTCTTTTTTAATAAATCTGCAAAAATGTCAACAATTCTGTGTTTTTCTGTCAATATGGGGTGCTGTGTGTACATTAATGAGGAAAAAAATTTTACTTAAACGATTTTAGCAAATGGCTGCAATATAACAAAGAGTGAAAAATTTAAGGGGGTCTGAATACTTTCCGTACCCACTGTATATATATATATATCACTTCATAAATAGCAGAAATGTCATGTTTTTATAATGCCGCTTCATATTCCTCTGGCTATTTTATAGGGGAAAAAAAAGAAGCGGAAGAGGGAAAAGATCCAGGAACCTGCTTCAGGTAAGACTCCTAAACCTCCAATCCCTGCTGTAATTTGTCCTGTTTCATTAATGTACGCACTACTTTGTGAATATGGTGGTAAAGTGGTTAATGTTGGGATACTGCATTCTCAATACGCTTTCTCACATTCAGTTTCAATCATAAAAGGATGTTTTTATAGTCAACATGAACATTTATGAATTGACATCTTTGTTGGTTGCCTGAAAATCCACAAGTCTGCGGATTTACTGTTCTGTATGTTTCTTTAATCTGTAAATTTTGCAACATTATGAACAGTACACCCACCCCACCACTCCATCTTTCCATCTTCTCCTCACAATCAAGTCTTTAGGATTAGTCTGTTTTAAAGTTCACAATGCTTCCGTCAGTGAAACTTTTCTATTTGCCCTTTTATAAATGCATTAGTGATGTGTGCTTGTACATTTAACAGTTCAATGTATATTTGGTGCTAAGTCTAGGGAATTTAATTATAGAGCTGTGTATGATGGACAAGTTAAAGGAATAGTTCACACAAAAATGAAAATTCTGGCTTAATTTACACTAGCTCATGTTTTTCTAAATGGAAATGACTTTTTTTTTCTTTTAAGGAACATGAAAGGTGAAGAAAGAGTAGCCTACTAGGACTGTCAAGCTACTAAATGACAACTCTCCTTAAAGTGTCCATATGACTAATTTGTGAGCGAAACTTTTCAATCGTTTAATCCAATTCCCAAGAATCAACCTGTATGATTCGTTCAGCACATTATTCAGAATTTCTCCCTTTCTGTTCAGTGAAAAAAAAGAAAATCCTAAGTAAATGATAACAGAGTGTTCATTATTGGACGAACTGTTCCTTTAATGAACAATGTTAATGTTTTAACTAGGCCAGCAAACTCTGTTTGTTGGCCCTACATTGACAACTAAGACCAGATATGGACTTAGGTGTTATTTGGAGGCACATCCTGGTAATTAAAAGTTACGATTTCCTGCAGGTACAGGCCAGAGAATGAAAACGGCGTACATCTGAACAATGGTAAGAGCCTCTTCCGTACCTCTGGTCTGATTGAGTCATGATGTGGTAAACTCCCTATTTTCTAATGTGGTTCTTAGCAATCAGAAAAACATGAGACTAATCCTAAAGGCACACTTTGAGTTCACCAATCAACCATTCACTGTTGTATTGCGAAAGCTGTTGTTTGCATCGTGCAAGTGTGTGCTAGCGTTACAGGGTTTCGTCTTGCGAACACACTGATGAATTGTTGTGACAAGTCATTTTTCTCTTCTAACTCTGTTTAAAGACTCCATTACATCCCTTTTCCTGTAGACTGATGTGTGGCATGTGGCGTGTTAGTATTTTCAGAAGACCAGTGCTTTTTTATCAAGAACAGTTTGCAAGCATACCATTTGTTTGAGAGATCACAGAACAGCGTAATCTCGACAAAGTCGGCTCAGAACATCAAGTCCACACTATCAGGTTTCTTTCCTCATTCATTTCTTCCATCTTTAATATTTGGCATGCAGCATCAACATACAATGCTGTGGCTCGCGGCCATGTTGGACTGGGGCGTTTTTTTTGGTTTTTCAAGAACATTTGGAAACTGGGATGGTATTGAAAGAGTCGACCCAGATGTAAGCTAACTCTTTTAGCATTCACCCATATGGCCCCCATGTGTTTTCTAGCCAACCCTGTGAATGAACGAAGCCCTTGCCAGCATATTTGGCTTGCGCTGTGCTTTTTAATTTTCTAGCGATTAAGCTAGCAACTGGCCTGAAAGAAGTTAGTTCTCTAAACAAAGAAGAGAATCGTCTCAGGTGAAAGTCTATGAGGAATTTCAGCGTCAAGGAAAGTAGTAAGCAAGGGGAAATATCTATTTTCTCCTCGTCTTAAGTCACCCTACATCCTGTAATTCTGCTTCTTTTTGCTATGAAAGCTGCGCAGATGTGACAAATCTGGTCCTACCCAAAAACCTTCAAGACAAAGGTTTTACGGTTGATCAGTTCTCTACTCTGTGGCTCCCGAACACAAATTGGACCGTTTCGCACTCTTTCTTTTTTTCTTCTGTGGGCTGCAATAGCTTTGAAAACGCAGCTGAAAGGCGCTCTATCTTCGATCCAATAATTAGCGGTGCCAAGCGAACTGCAAATGGACGCCCCAACTGATTCATCGTGGCAGCTTTAAACGAACATGCATAAAACAGAAAATATTGCCACCGCTTGCCAATTTATGCAGATCCGACAAACTGAGAAACATCACATTTGTCTTTTATGTTTATTCGCCTTCCAAATTATATAGTGTGCAATTTAATAGTTTTAAACAAAAAAAGACTTATAATATTTTTGGTAATGGATAGGATCATAATAACATCAACAGTGGAAAAAAAATCCAGTTAAATCCAGCATTTCTAGTTAAAATATCCAATTGAAATTCACTTGAAGCAACAGAGCATGATTATATACATAAGACAGAGAATATTGCCACCGCTTGTCAATTTATGCAGATCTGACAGGCTGAGAAACATCACATTTGTCTTTTATGTTTATTCGCCTTCCAAATTATATAGTGTGCACTTAAATATTTTTTAAACAAAAAAAGAGTGATAATATTGTTGATAATGGATAGGATAGCATACAACAGTGCAAAATAATATACAGTTAAATCCAGCATTTCCAGTTAAAATATCCAATTAAAAGACCATAAAATTCACTTGAAGCAACAGTTTTGTTTTGATTTTTTTTTTTTGATGCGTTTAAGACAAAATACACATGTATTAAATATACACTACCATTTAAAAGTTTGGGGGGTCAGTAAGATTTAAAAAAATGTTTTTAAAGTGCCCCTATTATGCCATTTTTACGGTTCCTAATATTGTTTTGGGAGTCTCGTACAATAGGATTACATGCATGCAAGGTCAAAAAACACTTTCGTTTTCTCAAAATATGCATTTAATATATAACCTCATTTTCCAGCGATTCTCAAACAATTCATTCGAAGCAGTTCAAAGATTCAGACTCTCAAACCCCTCCTTTCCGTGAGCCTGCTCTGCTCTGATTGGTCAGATGGCCTAGTCTGTTGTGATTGGTCTACGGCATACAGCGCGTTTCGGAAACGATACGCCTATTTCAATAGTTCTGTATTCTGAACGCTTTATAGAAAATATAAACATCTATTATTTATCATACTTACAGGTTATGATTTAGTAGAGCAGCTGGTCCAAATAAACAGGATACTGATCCATCTTTCAACAGCAAGCATTTTGTGAATCCCGCGTTGAACTCCCCGAGATTAGAGAAGCAGTCGTCAGCAGAATGACGTGTTTGTGGCGGGGTCAAGTTGTTCGCGGCCGGCCATCAGGTGAAAGTCTATGAGGAATTTCAGCGTCAAGGAAAGTAGTAAGCAAGGGGAAATATCTATTTTCTCCTCGTCTTAAGTCACCCTACATCCTGTAATTCTGCTTCTTTTTGCTATGAAAGCTGCGCAGATGTGACAAATCTGGTCCTACCCAAAAACCTTCAAGACAAAGGTTTTACGGTTGATCAGTTCTCTACTCTGTGGCTCCCGAACACAAATTGGACCGTTTCGCACTCTTTCTTTTTTTCTTCTGTGGGCTGCAATAGCTTTGAAAACGCAGCTGAAAGGCGCTCTATCTTCGATCCAATAATTAGCGGTGCCAAGCGAACTGCAAATGGACGCCCCAACTGATTCATCGTGGCAGCTTTAAACGAACATGCATAAAACAGAAAATATTGCCACCGCTTGCCAATTTATGCAGATCCGACAAACTGAGAAACATCACATTTGTCTTTTATGTTTATTCGCCTTCCAAATTATATAGTGTGCAATTTAATAGTTTTAAACAAAAAAAGACTTATAATATTTTTGGTAATGGATAGGATCATAATAACATCAACAGTGGAAAAAAAATCCAGTTAAATCCAGCATTTCTAGTTAAAATATCCAATTGAAATTCACTTGAAGCAACAGAGCATGATTATATACATAAGACAGAGAATATTGCCACCACTTGTCAATTTATGCAGATCCGACAGGCTGAGAAACATCACATTTGTCTTTTATGTTTATTCGCCTTCCAAATTATATAGTGTGCACTTAAATATTTTTTAAACAAAAAAAGAATGATAATATTGATGATAATGGATAGGATAGCATACAACAGTGCAAAATAATATCCAGTTAAATCCAGCATTTCCAGTTAAAATATCCAATTAAAAGACCATAAAATTCACTTGAAGCAACAGTTTTGTTTTGATTTTTTTTTTTTGATGCGTTTAAGACAAAATACACATGTATTAAATATACACTACCATTTAAAAGTTTGGGGGGTCAGTAAGATTTAAAAAAATGTTTTTAAAGTGCCCCTATTATGCCATTTTTACGGTTCCTAATATTGTTTTGGGAGTCTCGTACAATAGGATTACATGCATGCAAGGTCAAAAAACACTTTCGTTTTCTCAAAATATGCATTTAATATATAACCTCATTTTCCAGCGATTCTCAAACAATTCATTCGAAGCAGTTCAAAGATTCAGACTCTCAAACCCCTCCTTTCCGTGAGCCTGCTCTGCTCTGATTGGTCAGATGGCCTAGTCTGTTGTGATTGGTCTACGGCATACAGCGCGTTTCGGAAACGATACGCCTATTTCAATAGTTCTGTATTCTGAACGCTTTATAGAAAATATAAACATCTATTATTTATCATACTTACAGGTTATGAGTTAGTAGAGCAGCTGGTCCACATAAACAGGATACTGATCCATCTTTCAACAGCAAGCATTTTGTGAATCCCGCGTTGAACTCCCCGAGATTAGAGAAGCAGTCGTCAGCAGAATGACGTGTTTGTGGCGGGGTCAAGTTGTTCGCGGCCGGCCAACGTAGAACATATGTAGCCGTCACGGAAGTGGGATTCTAATTACTAACGACTCATTTCAGCTGTTCAGAGTCGATTCTTTATTTTGGGAGACAATAACTTTATCATGCACTTTACAACTTTGCAGATCGTTTACATTCACATACAGCTACATTATACACGGCATGAAAGGCAATATTGGAAATGGCATAATAGGGGCACTTTAAAGACATCTGATATTCACCAAGACTGCATTTATTTGATCAAAAATAACGTAAAAAGATTAATATTGTAAAATATTATTGGAATTTAAAATAACCGTTTTATATACAGTGGGTACGGAAAGTATTCAGACCCCCTTAAATTTTTCACTCTTTGTTATATTGCAGCCATTTGCTAAAATCATTTAAGTTAATTTTTTTTCCTCATTAATGTACACACAGCACCCCATATTGACAGAAAAACACAGAATTGTTGACATTTTTGCAGATTTATTAAAAAAGAAAAACTGAAATATCACATGGTCCTAAGTATTCAGACCCTTTGCTCAGTATTTAGTAGAAGCACCCTTTTGATCGAATACAGCCATGAGTCTTTTTGGGAAAGATGCAACAAGTTTTTCACACCTGGACTTGGGGATCCTCTGCCATTCCTCCTTGCAGATCCTCCAGTTCTGTCAGGTTGGATGGTAAACGTTGGTGGACAGCCATGTTTAGGTCTCTCCAGAGATGCTCAATTGGGTTTAAGTCAGGGCTCTGGCTGGGCCATTCAAGAACAGTCACAGAGTTGCTGTGAAGCCACTCCTTCGTTATTTTAGCTGTGTGCTTAGGGTCATTGTCTTGTTGGAAGATAAACCTTCGGCCCAGTCTGAGGTCCTGAGCACTCTGGAGAAGGTTTTCATCCAGGATATCCCTGTACTTGGCCGCATTCATCTTTCCCTCAATTGCAACCAGTCGTCCTGTCCCTGCAGCTGAAAAACACCCCCACAGCATGATGCTGCCACCACCATGCTTCACTGTTGGGACTGTATTGGACAGGTGATGAGCAGTGCCTGGTTTTCTCCACACATACCGCTTAGAATTAAGGCCAAAAAGTTATATCTTGGTCTCATCAGACCAGAGAATCTTATTCAGGTGTTTTTTAGCAAACTCCATGCAGGCTTTCATGT